AGTCCGACACACAGAACCGTCCGGCGACACGCCCTGGGGGCGACACATGGGCGCGCTCAGGGCTCAGGTACAGGTCTCGCGAGATTAAGCGGTAGGTTTTGCACTTTTACATTTCCGGTTATATCTCAGAAACTAATCGATCTACGATGAAGCCATTTTACACGATCATGGCCGGCTTGTTACCCAACAAGTCGATCGCATCTTCAACACTTAAAAGCTTAAGACGACGAAGATATAACCTGAAGTACACTAAATTTTCTAGGTGCAAAACCTACCGCTAAAACCCGCGAGCCCTGTACCATGCACAAGGGCGCCGGGTGCAGTGTCTGTGTGTCCCTGACTGACCTGCAGCGGTGACGCTGTCACAGAAAGCACCTGTTCATTGCCCAATGGATCCAGCCCAGTTCCGGCCGGCCGAGTGCCCGCACGTACGCAGCCAGTGTTACGGTCTGTGTTCGATCTATGTTACGGTCTGTGTTCAATCTATTTTACGCCCTGTGTAACGACCTGCGTTACGGCTTGTGTTACGGTCTGTGTTACATACCCTGTTCTGGGCGGTCTCCACCTTGACCCTCTTAGCGTCCCAGAGTCGGTACTGGTAGACGTGCGCGTTCTCTGCCGAGACGTCCCGCAGGTGAACGAGCAGGTTCTGTAGGCCGACCAGCGTCTCAGCTGGCACCTGAGAAGGTCAGGGGAGGGTAGGGGAGGTCAGTGGTGTACTGGTGTCTGACATAGACCAGCGGACAGGGGGAGGGGAGAGGGAGAGGAGTCTGGTGGCGCAGAAGGACCGTTCCGCGCTTGAAAGTGGACATATCTGAGGACCGTTCCGCGCGCGCTGACACTGCCTCTAGAACCGTTCTGCGAGCAGTCAGACATGCAGACCGGATTGATGTTTTGAAACTTTGACATAATAAACTTTAATTAATTCGACACAGGTACTCTAACCGCATGTGTTTTTTTATATCGCGGACAAAAAAGTGGGGATTGTTAGGGTTAAGCAGGGAGTCACCGATGTTAGATCCCTCTCTGGGTCCTTTCATAGGTCACGGTCCTGACCCGAGATAGCTGAGCTGTGTCGCAGCCCTGACCTCAGGGCTCAGACAGCTGAGCTGTGCACGCCGTCGGCTCGGCCGTCAGTCGCCACAGCCGCTGACGCCAGTGTCCAAACAGCTCCAAACAATATCCGGCCCTGTATAGCAGGATAAGCCATCAGAGGCGGGAGTGATCAATGGAGGGACGCGAAACACTAACGCCAAGGGGATGACAACTGCTGAGGAATAAAGAAACTACATGCAGGTACACTGGGAACACGTCATGCTGGAGTTGACGTGTTCCCAGCCCGTCCTGTACCATGCAGCCCGTTCCGGTGATCACTCCCGCAGGGCCGGATATTGTTGGGAGCTGTTTGGACACTGGCGTCAGCGGCTGTGGCGACTGACGGCCGAGCCGACGGCGTGCACAGCTCAGCTGTCTGAGGTCAGGGCTGCGACACAGCTCAGCTATCTCGGGTCAGGACCGTGACCCCCTATGAAAAGACCCAGAGAGGGATCTAACATCGGTGAGTCCCTGCTTAACCCTAACAATCCCTACTTTTTTCTCCGCGCTATAAAAAACACATGCGAGTTATAAAAAACACATCCCTATCAACCAGTCCCAAACAGTGTACCAAATTTGAGCGCAATCGGCGTGGCAGTTCAGGGTTCAAGATATATGAGCAACCCAAAATCGCTACTGCAGCAGAATAACGAACACTCTTGGCCCTTCACGTCGCACGTGTCACGACGCTCACCATGATACATCAGTTGTAGTCAATAACTCACCAAGATACATCAGTTGTAGTCAATAACGAGATGGAAGGGATAGGATTACGCGCAACAAAGAGTAACGCAGGTCAATCAGCCCAGCGGTTGCTGACTTACAAGCCTATTAAAAACGTTACAGGAATACGCTTCGCTAGCTCAAACGTAATAGAGTAGAATCATTACATATATGCAATTGCTACTATTTCCTGGTTTTCTTTATAGGCCAAGGCTTGGTAACTGATAACTCTGCTGCCCTGTAATGGGTCCGGCCCGCTGTGGCGAGTGAAGACACTCGCTCTGACTGACTGGACCGCCAGCCGAGACGCTGCTGACTCTGGTGGTGAATGGTGAGCGGAAGAGGAGAAAGTTTACGCCAAAGCTGAAGCAACTCTACATTGCTGTACAGCTAATACGCTTTTCACCTGGTGGCCAGTAGAGGAACTAACAGTTACTACAACTGACCGTCAGAAGCACCCAACACACACCGTGCCGCTCCCAGTAACATACCAGGATGTAGACCCCAGTCGGGCAGCGCTCCGGCGTCCGGCAGCCGCAGCTGGTCCAGCAGTGACAGCAGCCGGCCGGCGCTGCCCTCCGGCGCCGTCCGACAGGCGTTCACGGCCACCACCCTGACGGACAGACGTTACACGGTCAGCAGAGAGCCGACACTCGGTCAGCGGACAGTGGCGTTGGGTCACCGGATGGCAGAGCATCGCCGCAGCACACAGACCAGACAGGACTGTGCCGACAACGCAACCCCGTTGGAGTAACATGACCCTAATAAATGCACCGAAAATGCTCTGGTCTGTCTCCATTACTTATAATAATAAAAAAATGAAAGAACAACTGAGATGAGGGAAAGGAGTGAGGCGTCTGTTAGGGTCCCCGTGCAATACGCCCGGTGCGGTGACTGACCTCTGCGCCGCTAGCTGGAGAGCTGGTTAACCCGGCTGACGACCTTCTGTACCTCCTCGGCGGAGAGCGGGTGGCCGTTGGTGGCCCGCCGCAGCCCGTCCCGGTAGCCGGCCGCCCCATCCGGCGGCACGCCCTGGGGAGTCATAGCATAACACTCAGGCAGGTTCAGGTTTCAGTCCGACACACAGAACCGTCCGGCGACACGCCCTGGGGGCGACATATGGGCGCGCTCAGGGCTCAGGTACAGGTCTCGCGAGATTAAGCGGTAGGTTTTGCACTTTTACATTTCCGGTTATATCTCAGAAACTAATCGATCTACGATGAAGCCATTTTACACGATCATGGCCGGCTTGTTACCCAACAAGTCGATCGCATCTTCAACACTTAAAAGCTTAAGACGACGAAGATATAGCCTGAAGTACACTAAATTTTCTAGGTGCAAAACCTACCGCTAAAACCCGCGAGCCCTGTACCATGCACAAGGGCGCCGGGTGCAGTGTCTGTGTGTCCCTGACTGACCTGCAGCGGTGACGCTGTCACAGAAAGCACCTGTTCATTGCCCAATGCATCCAGCCCAGTTCCGGCCGGCCGAGTGCCCGCACGTACGCAGCCAGTGTTACGGTCTGTGTTCGATCTATGTTACGGTCTGTGTTCAATCTATTTTACGCCCTGTGTAACGACCTGCGTTACGGCTTGTGTTACGGTCTGTGTTACATACCCTGTTCTGGGCGGTCTCCACCTTGACCCTCTTAGCGTCCCAGAGTCGGTATTGGTAGACGTGCGCGTTCTCTGCCGAGACGTCCCGCAGGTGAACGAGCAGGTTCTGTAGGCCGACCAGCGTCTCAGCTGGCACCTGAGAAGGTCAGGAGAGGGTAGGGGAGGTCAGTGGTGTACTGGCGTCTGACATAGACCAGCGGACAGGGGGAGGGGAGAGGGAGAGGAGTCTGGTGGCGCAGAAGGACCGTTCCGCGCTTGAAAGTGGACATATCTGAGGACCGTTCCGCGCGCGCTGACACTGCCTCTAGAACCGTTCTGCGAGCAGTCAGACATGCAGACCGGATTGATGTTTTGAAACTTTGACATAATAAACTTTAATTAAATCGACACAGGTACTCTAACCGCATGTGTTTTTTATATCGCGGACAAAAAAGTGGGGATTGTTAGGGTTAAGCAGGGAGTCACCGATGTTAGATCCCTCTCTGGGTCCTTTCATAGGTCACGGTCCTGACCCGAGATAGCTGAGCTGTGTCGCAGCCCTGACCTCAGACAGCTGAGCTGTGCACGCCGTCGGCTCGGCCGTCGGTCGCCACAGCCGCTGACGCCAGTGTCCAAACAGCTCCAAACAATATCCGGCCCTGTATAGCAGGATAAGCCATCAGAGGCGGGAGTGATCAATGGAGGGACGCGAAACACTAACGCCAAGGGGATGACAACTGCTGAGGAATAAAGAAACTACATGAGATGATGTTTTTCGTACTCCAGCGTAGTACGAAAAACATCATCTCACGCTCTCAGTCCCAGCGGATAAAAACAACACCTAAGAAAGAAACTACATGCAGGTACACTGGGAACACGTCATGCTGGAGTTGACGTGTTCCCAGCCCGTCCTGTACCATGCAGCCCGTTCCGGTGATCACTCCGGCCTCTGATGGCTTATCCTGCTATACAGGGCCGGATATTGTTTGGAGCTATTTGGACACTGGCGTCAGCGGCTGTGGCGACTGACGGCCGAGCCGACGGCGTGCACAGCTCAGCTGTCTGAGGTCAGGGCTGCGACACAGCTCAGCTATCTCGGGTCAGGACCGTGACCCCCTATGAAAAGACCCAGAGAGGGATCTAACATCGGTGACTCCCTGCTTAACCCTAACAATCCCTACTTTTTTCTCCGCGCTATAAAAAAACACATGCGAGTTATAAAAAAAAACACATCCCTATCAACCAGTCCCTATCAACCAGTTAATTAATTCGACACAGGTACTCTAACCGCATGTGTTTTTTATATCGCGGACAAAAAAGTGGGGATTGTTAGGGTTAAGCAGGGAGTCACCGATGTTAGATCCCTCTCTGGGTCCTTTCATAGGTCACGGTCCTGACCCGAGATAGCTGAGCTGTGTCGCAGCCCTGACCTCAGACAGCTGAGCTGTGCACGCCGTCGGCTCGGCCGTCAGGCGCCACAGCCGCTGACGCAAGTGTCCAAACAGCTCCAAACAATATCCGGCCCTGTATAGCAGGATAAGCCATCAGAGGCGGGAGTGATCAATTGAGAGACGCGAAACACTAACGCCAAGGGGATGACAACTGCTGAGGAATAAAGAAACTACATGCAGGTACACTGGGAACACGTCATGCTGGAGTTGACATGTTCCCCGCACTGGCACTTATACTGATAGACCAGCCCAGCCTTCTCTTTGATCCCTAATTTGTCCTTGGGTTTGACGAGCCTAGCACTAAGGTTCGCTGCAGGTCTCGTGCTGACCTTCGCGTAGGGTCGGAGGACGCGCGTGACCTGTTCACTCACCCCCTGGATGTAAGGGATGCTTACATAAACCCGTTTGTCCTCCTCCTGTTCCCTGCCTACCCGTTCAGAACCACCACCCTCTCCCATGCGTAGTCGTTCTCTATTTTTTACCCGCCTGTGGATACGGCGCACCATTCGCTTTGGGTAGTGGTTCCTCACCAGTGCCCGTTCTATCTTCCCTGTCTCGCGTTCCTCGTCCTCAGGTGTTGTCGTGAGTCGTGATGCCCGTGTGAAAAGTGTCTGTGGGACTGATGCCTTGTGCTGTGAGCTGTGGTGTGATTCATAGTGAAGGTATTTGTCCGTATGAGTTGCTTTCCTGAACACCTCGGTCTTCATGGTCCCCCCTCCCAGTCTATGTACCTTTACATCCAAAAAAGGTAAGGATCCCTCCTTTTCCTCCTCGAGCGTGAATTCAATCCTCTCGTGCTGAGCGTTGAGGTGGTCGAGTAGTTCACTTACCTGATCTTTCTTTAAGATCACGAACGTGTCATCTACGTAGCGTCTCCACAGTTTCACTGGGTGTGGAAACGACTGGAGTGCACTGGATTCGAACGATTCCATGAACAAGTTGGCCACCACAACGCTCACTGGACTCCCCATGGCCGTGCCCCACTTTTGCTTAAAGAACTTTCCGTTAACCCTAAAGTAAGTAGTACCCAAACAGAGCCGTAACAATTTTATGATATCCTCGACCTCCAGTGCTGTTTCCGCTCTTACCTTGCTTTCCTCATCCAAAAACTCTTCTTCGAGTCTCTGGCGTGCTACTTCACATGCTGCCTCTGTCGGTACCGATGTGAACAGCGCTTTGACGTCAAAAGAAACCATGGTCTCATCGTCACTGAGCGTAACATCTCGTAAACTCTCTTTGAAACTCGCCGTGTCCTTGACATGATGTTCAGACTTGCCTACCAGAGGAGATAATATGCTAGCTAAATGTTTGGACAGCTGGTACGTTACACTGCCTATGCTAGACACGATGGGACGTAGCGGAACGCCCTGCTTGTGCACCTTCGGTAGCCCATAAAGCAATGGCGGAGTCGGGTCCGACGGGTACAGTTTTAGATACGTTTTTCTGTCCAATTTGCCCTGTTGTTCTAAGTCCTTTAGCGCCCCCCTTACCTCTCGTGTGTACCTACCGGTTGGGTCCCTATCCAGTTCAGTGTACGTGTCGTGATCCCCTATTAGTGTTTCTAACCTACTTTGATACTGCTCACAGGTCATCACACATACAGATCTACCCTTATCTGCAGGTAAAATCATAATATCTTGCCTATCTTGTAGGTCACGTAACGCTTTCCACTCCCCCTTACTGAGATTTTTGTTTTGCGGGGGACGGAAGGAATTGAGAGCTTTGGTGACCTCGAATCTAAGCCTATTCGCTACATCCGGTGTTACATCGTCTGAACGGCACACACTTTCGACCGCCGAAACAAAATCCGCGACCGGAACGCTTGTCGGCGTCGGTACAAAATTGAGCCCTTTACGTAGCACACTGACCTCATCGTCACTTAGGCTTACCCCAGACAGATTGACCACCCACTTATCTCCATTGTCCTCCCCCTGTCCACCAGTCTCCTCCTGCTCACCGGTCTCCTGTCTGTCCTCCTGCTTACCAGTCTCCTGGCCACCGGTCTCCTGCTCACTGGTCGTGAGCAGGATACATACCTCGTGGTGGTATGTATTTTGGTAGGTGTTTGAGACGTTTGAGACGTATTGTCTTGTATCTTAATGCATTTTAAAGCACGGCTGACGAAGGGAGCAGAAGCTTCCGAAAGCTACCGAATCAATATACGCATTACTGGTGTCGAAGAATTGGTTCCTAAATAAACAACTCTACATTGCTGTACAGCTAATACGCTTTTCACCTGGTGGCCAGTAGAGGAACTAACAGTTACTACAACTGACCGTCAGAAGCACCCAACACACACCGTGCCGCTCCCAGTAACATACCAGGATGTACACCCCAGTCGGGCAGCGCTCCGGCGTCCGGTAGTCGCAGCTGGTCCAGCAGTGACAGCAGCCGGCCGGCGCTGCCCTCCGGCGCCGTCCGACAGGCGTTCACGGCCACCACCCTGACGGACAGACGTTACACGGTCAGCAAAGAGCCGACACTCGGTCAGCGGACAGTGGCGTTGGGTCACCGGATGGCAGAGCATCGCCGCAGCACACAGACCAGACAGGACTGTGCCGACAACGCAACCCCGTTGGAGTAACATGACCCTAATAAATGCAGTCTGCGCCTAGCGGTGGCCGTGACCGGACGCGCGGGGTCAGCTGGTGCGCGCCGCAACTGCTCCGGTGGTCTGGGCCGCGAGTGGTCAGTGGTCACGGGGGCGCTCAGTTGGTTGTGGCTGAATCATACGGCCCATGCCGAGATTTAACAGGAGTGGTAGCAAGTGTTCTGCTGAGAGAGTGGCAGAGACAGTGAGGACGGAACGACGGAGAACTGTGAGGACGGTGTCGTGAGTGCAGCGGACTGGGACAATTTTAGTGGTCGAGCGACGAGCCCCAGGTTGGAGGACGCTGCAGGATTGGGAGCGAAAATAATGGGCTCAGCCAGGCAGAAGAAAGATGCAAGCGGTCGCGCTCAGGTTCGCGAGGGTTCGCAACGCCGGGCGGCGCCACCGCTGCCGCCTGGTGCGGCGCGTCGGGCCCAGGCGCCGCTGGCGGGCGGGGCCGGTGACCCGGGCCGCTCCAGTGGCGGGCCCAGCCGCGGCCAGGGGTCGGTCAGAGAAATGATCTCCCAGCTCAATTCGAAGAGGGAAGGCTCTGAGCACAGGAGCAAGCGGCCCAGAGATGCGACCGACGACTCGGAGACTGAGGTCGAGACGGACGCGGAGCGGGAGACGGAATCCGACGTCCTCACGCCGAGACTGCTCCGGGCGGAGCTGGCCGAGCTGACGCGGGTTCTGTCTACCAAGATGGAGGAGTCCGTGGAGAGGCTACGACAGGAGCTCGGCGACATGCGGCAGCGAGTGCTGGACCTCGAGGGACACGTCGAGCGGCAGGGCGTCGAGCTCGACGAGCTCCGCTCGGCGGTCGACCGGCGGGATGTGAGGATCTCGGAGCTGGAGGGAGCGGTCACGGAGCTGGAGATGGATAGGAACCGTCACTTTCTCGTCTTCGATGGGCCCGGCGTTCCTCCTCCTCCGGACGACCGGGAGCCGTGGAAGGAAAACGTCTCGGAAACTGTCGTGAAGACTGTGCGTAAATATCTGCCGGACATTGAGGTGAGGGCGACTGACATTGTGCAGTCGTATCGTGTTGGAAAGGGGAAAAGGATTGTTTGTCAGTTTGTGTCTGTGGGTCAGAGCAGCGTGCGGGAGCGTATTTATCAAAAACGTGTTTCATTAGGAAAAGATGAGAACGGTCGTCGACGAGACAAAAATGATCAGCTTTACGTAAATGAAAGATTATGTGACGCAGCGGAGGCTGCCTACGCTAAACTGCGCAAAGCGAAAAGAGAAGGAACTATTCATAGTGTTTTTACACGTCAGGGACACATCTTTGTTCGGTTGATTGAGCACGGTCAGGTCATAAGAGTGCGAAACTGGAACGACCTGAGTGACGTTCTAAAAACCAGTGAATATCATGACGCTTAGGTCACATGGACATGTTTGTTCGTCATGCTTTTTGTCTTTGCTTGTTTGGATTGGGGCTTTTGTGTTGCACTGTGTTCTGTGCTCGGTCTCGGACCGTTGCTCGTTGCTTTGCGCCGCTCTGGGTCTCGGTGCTCCCGCAGCTGGCTGGCCTGGGTCCGCCGCTGCGTTGTCTCGACGGCGCCGGCCGCTGCCTGTCGTCTGGGGTGTGCGTGCGTGCGCCGCCCCTGCCCGGTTGGCGGGTGGGGCTGGGGCAGGGGCTCGGGCGGGGGAATGCGGGGAGGGTTTGACGGGCGAGGTGTGGAGAGTGTGCGAGAACGTGTCCGGCGGTGAAAGCGCTAAATTTAGGTGGATTTCGAATGTTACGTGTTGGTATGATTTTTGTCAGTTTCATCTTTAGTCATGGCTGAATTAAGACTTGCCTCATTCAACGTACGAGGTTTAAGGCAGAGAAGTAAGAGACGTGCTATTTTTCATTTCATTCACACAGTATATCCCAATCACATAGTAGCATTACAAGAAACACATTCTTTGGCATCAGATGCTAAGGCATGGAAGGCTGAATGGGGTGGAGAAATCATTTTTGCACACAGTCCGAGCGTAAATGAGTCCGGAGTAGCCGTACTTATTCCCAGATCGTTACAAGCGCGCTGTTCTGTTCTCAGTGCGGAGTCCGATGATCAGGGCCGACTTGTTGTGGCATCCTTACAGATTGAAACATCATGTCTGACATTGTTTGCGGTTTACGCGCCTACGCGAGGGCACGACAGGCAGCAAATGATTTTTTATGAAAATATCCGTGAGAAATTGGAGGCTTTGTCCATAGAAGAACTAAAATATGTTGTTTTATGCGGAGATTTTAACGTACAGTTAAGTAAGCACGATGTCGCAACACAGAGATTTCGACCTACACGAGCCACAAAAGTTTTAGCAGGTATTTTAGAAGACTTGTGTTTGGTGGATGTGTGGAGGGAATTGCACCCGGACACCGTTCAGTATACGTGGCGACGCCTTGAACCTATGCAGCAATCGCGGATTGATTACATAATTGTCAGTAGACACCTGGTCGAGAACCGCATGGTTAGTGGGGCGGATATCCAACCCGGGGTGTTGAGTGATCACAGTGTGGTCACTTTTACGGCAAAGCTTATTTCTCTCAAAAAGGGGCCAGGATTGTGGCGGTTTAATAAGTTGCTCTTAGAGGATAGTGAGTTTGTCTCGGAAGCTAAGCAAGAGATAAGCCAGGCAAGTAGGGCGCAACATATTTATGAGTCAGTTCATGACATGGGCTTAAGATTAGAAATCCTATTAGGTCAAATAAGGACTATAGCTGTGCGTAGGAGCAAGGCGATGGCTAGAGAAAAGCGAGATAGAATAGCGCAGGCCATTAAAACAAAAGAAGAATTAGAAAAGGAGCTTGCTAGTAATCAGTCCGCGGACGTGATATCGAGATATGAAGAAGCAAAAACGGCGTTGGATGAAGTGCAGGAAGAGAATGGGCGACGAGCAATGCTCTTTTCGGGAGCTCGATGGTTAGAGCAGGGTGAGAAGCCCACGAGATATTTTTTCGGACTTTGTGCTAAAAGAAACGCGGGTAAAAACATAACCGTTTTGAGAACAAGTAATGGGGAACTTCTATCAGAAAATAAAGAGGTATTGCGGATGTGTAAGGAATATTTTGAGAAGTTATATACTTCCAGAGTCAGTAGACGGGATGCTAATGATCCTGATGTTTTGGAATTTTGTTGGCCAGTATGCCCGCAGTTGAGTGAGCCAGATAAGGCATCGTGTGAGGGGCTTATTACGCACGAAGAGTGTAAAGACGCCCTCCAATCTATGCTTAACAATAAAGCTCCATCAGTTTCAGGATTTTCCAAAGAATTCTTTTTGTGTTTTTGGGACGAGTTAGGTGATTTAGTTGTCGATTACATAAACCAAGCAAGAGAAAAAGGTCAATTCTTTTGGACGCAACGTAGAGGAGTGATAACTCTCATCCCAAAGAAGGGTGATCAGACTTTGTTGAGGAATAAACGTGCTATATGTCTTTTAGACACGGTTTACAAAATTGTGGCCAAGGTTGTTGCGAATCGTCTTGCGCGGGTTGTGCATGAGCTAGTATCTGAAGATCAGACCGGAGCCATTAGAAATAGATATATTGGAACCAATTTACGGACGATAGCAGATGTAATTGAGCTGTGTGAAAGGGAAGATAAAGAGGGCATTTTAATGGCTTTAGATTTTAGAGATGCGTTTAACTCTGTTGAACATGCGTTTGTATATGAAACGTTGAAGCGTTTTAATTTCGGAGATGATTTCATTGGATGGGTAAAGCTACTTCATAACGGATCTGAATTGTCAGTTATCAATAACGGTTATACCACAGATTGGTTTAAGCCATCTAGAGGATTGCAGCAAGGATGTCCCGCCTCTGCACCAATTTTCGCACTTGTGGTAGAAATTTTGGCTTTAAGTATTAAAGCGAATAATGATATTCAAAGAATACGATGGAAAAGTGAGGAATACATTATAACTCAGTATTGCGACGACACAACCATATTTGTCAAAAATCATGCTTCCGCAGAACGGGTCTGCAGCCTGGTTCAAAATTTTGGAAGTTTTTCAGGTTTGATGCTGAATGTAGATAAGTGTAATTTTATGTGGTTAGGAAAAAGTAAGTTGTCAGAGCGGACAATATGCAGGACGCGTCCTAAATCAGAAGTTA